ATGCTGTTTGTTCCCTGCTAACTACTATCGTGTTAATGCCTCTCTATAACAACCACTTCCGTTTATGTTTCTTCGATTCCTGGCAGCTGGTCCCGCAGATTTGCACTTCTTTATTCCACTTAACCCCTTAACCTTCAAATAAGATGGAACTCAGTGTACCTGAACAAATATAATTTAACACATTGTTGACCAGTTCCGAGTTAACTCATGTTTGCACTTGCATTAGCTATTACAATTTTGGAAACGCAGGATAACATAGAATATTGCAAACGCGAAATATTCGAAGTTATCTAAAAGATATGTCCAAAGTTTCATTTCAGTTCATTATGTATAAATAAAGAATATTGAAGTTTATTTAGATTGTTTCACTTTCATATTTAATTGCGGAATAATAACCAGCGGCATGGGATCGCTTCTGCGTAAAATTGCCGGTTAACAAAGTGTTAATATGTTTAAATGGCGTGTAATGGTTGGTTGAGGGAGGAAAGAATTTGAAAAGAACAGGGGTGAGGGAGGGAACATTTCGTTCGGGACCTACCAGTGGACTCGTCAGAAAAGCTTTTTGGTAGATCGGTGCCTTAGACGCGGAGGCGACTGTTGGAGGTTTATAGAATGCATACATACAAATTGGTCTCAAGTAAGGTTTCGTAGTCTGCTATTGGCAGACTATAGGAAGGTGCCATCACAATATTTATAGCCGAATTACAGAGAAATTATAGGCAAATTACAAACTTTAACCTTTTCGTCCCTGCATATGTATTTTTTAGAGGACCAAGAACAGCTGCTTTGGGTGAAATTGAAGCTTTTCAGTAAAAAGAATAAAATGGGCACTAATAATAATAATAATAATTAGCACTTAAACTGTCAGGTATAAGCAAAGATTCGCATGTAATACAATTTTCCTTTATCTTTAAAGCGTTTACTAGCTTTTCGGCAATTTAAAATGTTCGTGGTATCTACGTGTATCATTTGAGACGAAGGGGTTAATATCTGTAGAATATACTTACATAGTGTACAAAAACATGCGGGACTCACTTCGCAAACTCCATAAACACAAAAATAGTTATAACTTTCAAACGAGGCTAAATAGGACAAACGTTCATATAAATCTTTTTTATTATTTTTGCGCCCTCTATACGTTTATTTCAATCATATCACTGTCAATGTTTATCACACCAGCTCCTACAAAGATAATCGGTCAGAATAACGACCATCAAATCATATTCAATTGTTCAAACTTCAAAATCGATTTTCTCGAAAACGAAATGTCGTATGAAGAAATGTTGTACCAAATTTTTATCTTATTTTTTCACGTAGAATCACCCCCTTCCCGGTTGTAATGCGATTTCCGACTCACCGTGTATTTATTCTTAGCAACTAAGATTGCCACGTATTCAAGAATTGCAATACAGCAACAAATATACAGTTAACGTATTTTAATTGTCAATCATCCGAATTTATTTGAAGTTTACAATGAGGAAGCAGTTGTAGCCAGCGCCTTTATAAAGGAAATCATAGATTAAAAGATTGAAGGTCTTTTCTTTCTGTTTTCTCTACCTTTTTCTTTCTAGGCCGGCAAATACGGTGGCAAACCCCACCGGTGCCTTCATCATTCAGTCAGCTAATATAATCTCAGATCATTACCAAAGCCGTTACATTCATCTGAGAACAGTTACGCTAGATTCCAGGCGACAAGTACGCCCCGTTTCCAGGTCGCGTAATCGAATACACTGCTCCCGTGGCACACGACTGTCGTTTATACTATCACTCGCTCATATTTCTGCTTTCCCCGACACCGAAATGTTTGCCACGCTAATCTCGACCTGATCCCCTTTTACTTCTTCTCACAGAAGTCGAAGCGTGCCACGCGTATTTGATTCGTCATTCGGTGTCACGACGTGAGAATTTCTATGCTGTGCTCACTTTCTATTCTGTGCCTACAACCTACAAACTGAAAGTGCACAGAGGCAAGGGTGAAGCGTCCACTAATAATACTCGGTACTGACACATATTTGTTATTGGTCGAATCACGCAACGAAAAACACAAAGGACATAAAATGCAGCAAAGTGAAGTATCAGTCGCTCAAAACGATGAGGCCTGTGAGTCTATTGTTTGAACCTTTATAAATTTTAGTGTTAAGGTATTTGATTTATGCTTACATTTTTGCATCTGAACTGAAGTTGCTTAATCATTGTTTTAACGCCACGAAATGATAAATCTGTATAGAGTACGGAATATCAAATTTATGTCAAATGCCATAGCGATTAAAGTTCATAGTTTAATACGATCAACACAAATCGAGCTAGAGGAAATAGTGTTTTGTCGTTTTTATCGATTGTGTTGTATAATAATAACACTAGTTTTGTTATTATCTTATAATTCATCTAACAATTGAGACTCTAACAGAGTCATACGACTTCCTTCAAAGCTTTTTCTAGTTTTTGTTTTGTGGACTTAATCAATTTGGCAAATGAACGGCTCATATATTGATGATGGTTCAATGTCAAGCTGTTAAATGGCCAATGACCTTTATTCTGTTCAATTGTTTGTAATGAATAAATAAATAAATACATAGACATGACTAGATAGAATGTGTCTATGAGATAAATAATATACCGTCGAATAATTAAATAATAAATAGATAAATAAGGAAAAATGAATAAATAGACAAATACATAAATAGATAAATACACAAATAAATAAATAAGTAGATAAATAAATAATTAATTAAATAAATAGAGAAATAAAGAAAGAACTAAAGAAATAAAGAAATAAAGAAATACATAAATAATTAAATAAGTACATAGGTAGTTAAATGGCTAAATAAATGAACATCTCGGACTTCATAGCCGAGTCCGGAAACACCGCATGTGTTGGTGTTCTCGGCCCAATAATAATAACAAAAGAATATTAATAAAATAAAATAAAGTGTAAAAAGACAACAAAATCGAGAAAAAGTAAAAGAAAGAAGAGATACATGCATAGTGCGCATTGCGCTAAGGCAATGTGTGTTATTGTAATGAATAACCACACTATTTCTCTCTCTATTGACAAAACGTAGGCTCGACAAGGACTTTCATAGTTTTTGGTGTATATTACCCGGTAGTTTAAATTATTTGGAATTGTACTGCCACAATTTGATACTTAGTGAATGCCTCTATTGAATACCTTATTGAACGAATGGAATTCTGGCACCTGCGAACGTCTACTATCAAATTTTTACTTTGCTTTTCTACGAGTCCTTACAAATAGTTGTGTTTAATAGACCAATATAGAACCTATTATGTAGACAATGTTAACCTACTATGTAACATATTATGTTGTTCGCATAACAGAACATCTCATTTCTAATTTTCATTTTTTTAACACTAAACGTACCAGCAGCTGATAAAATATTATCTAGTAAGAATTATACATAACTATTTCTACCATAACCAGTCAAATAACTGATTATAAAATAAAGGTAAACATGTCAAGGAGTAGATTTTTCTTAGTGGAAACGAAAATAAAAGGCATAACAAAAATTAGAAAATTGATTAATCAGGCGATGTAAGAATTAACATAAAGTTAAATGTATAAAGGAAAATTCAGATTATTAAATTATTTTTTTAAAACCGGTCATTTAACAGGTCGCAGTACGTTTAGTGTTAAACAGAAATCGTGACAATTTATAATTTATTCATATCTTTATGCACCCTATTTATACGCTAAATTACGTAAATTTGTTAACACCGATAATAACGCAAAATTTCATACCTGCTAAACAGTTCTAATAATAATTTATTTTACATTGCATTATATATGCAAGAAGTTGCACCATATTTCGTAATATACGCATGTCACATAATTCTCGTATTTATGTAGAGAGTGAAGTTTGATACGGCCCTGTCAAGAGCGCACGTTCTTTTTTGCACATACGAGTGGGCCCTTGTAATACGACGGCCGTAGGTTAGGAAAAAAAGACGAACAGTTGTTGAGTTGCGTTCGCTAAATACAAAAGTCTCATTGTGTTGTTTAATTTTTGTAAGTATATTCGCAGTTGGTTAACCAGTTAACTGTGGAATTTAGTTTGAAAAATCTTTCATTGTGTGCGCAATAAAAATAAAGCATAAAAAGTATACATGTCCGTTAAACGCAGGGAAAATTCATCTATGATACATACTAACGAAAAACTACAGCAGAACGAAGAAGAATTACACATTTGCCAGAAAAAAATAATTTAATCTTTGAAAAAATTAATACCATTTTGTGTTTTAAGATGATATGTATACTCGTCGAACGCAGTTAACTGGTTAAGACGTTAACTTTATCTCACCTTTATCAACCTGGAATCCTACATTTATGAACAAAGCAAACGCTGCATGGATAGTTTTGTTACACTAAACAAATTCTGCTAGATTTGAGTAATTTCAAATATTGAATTACGCGATGCACACCGTACTCCGGTGAGTGTTGCGAGTAAACCGTGACGTGGTAAAGGATCCTCCGTAGGACTCGACCACTGACTCCTGATATTCACCCTCTTTTCCGCCTCGTAAACAGACCGTTCGGCCGCGAAAAGAGAAGCGCGAATAATGAACCGCGCACAGAAGTGACGCGTGAAAAGGGTGTCATTTACAAATTTATTTTATCAAGAAAAGAGAAGGAAGATGAATGCAGTGAGGGAGAGAGGGAACGAGGTAAAATAGTACTCGAGAGCGACGCTGCCAGAAACTCCATCACGATGAATGCGAGCATGACTCGCACGACTGTCTGGCAATTTATTTCGCACCTACGTTAAACACGTGTTTCCTTTCTTGCTACCGATAGCGGAATACGACGGTGATATTTTCACCGGAGAAAAATATCATCCCGGACGAGATATCGCTGTTTCATTTCGAAGCTCCATTGTCGGCGGATTACCGATCGTTTGTTATCGGAAACGCGGATATAATATTGAATCTATCAGTTGCCTGGTATATTTTTGACGCTAAATGGAAATTGTTTGCTCATTTTTCAGATGGCACCTGATGCTACGAGCGAAACGGGGTGGACTCATATATCGCGGCGATCTTTATATACGCGCGTGGCAGCTACAGAGCGAATCGCGTCGTCAAGCACACCAGCATCAAGCAAATCTTTGTCTGTCGGTCAGTATTCGTAGTTCAGCAAATTTATATTTAAGCTAGGGTTCCGTTGTAAAGTGAGTCACCTATTGCAAGCATATTTGACATTCGTATACGATAGATATTCATCGTAACAAATGTAGTTGATTAGAAGTTAAATTAATGATATCGAATCGTCTTTATTTAAATTGGAAAAGAATCATTCTTTTCATTTTATAGGCGATGAGTTCGAAAATAATAAAATCTTTTTTTTTATATCTAAGTTTATTTTAAGGTGATCACATTAACAGTAAAGTCATTAGTGATCGCCAACATTTGGATACATTAATTATTACTTACTAATATTTAATACATAATGTCTTATTGTGCAGTAATATACTAGTTGTATGAATAATAATACAGGATTTCCGGAATAACCATATCTTAATTATAATGAATTTAGAAGGTTAATTTGTCTGAAGGATTGAAGCATATTCTGGATACTGGTGGGATCATTTAAGTTCATCTTCGTATTAGATTTAATGTTACAGTTGTTTCTTTTAAGGGAGAATTAGAGGAGATTTATTAGAATGTGTTTACTGCTTAGAGGTGTTCCACAAAGTATGCATTTAAATGGAGGTTGCTTTGTTAGTAAATATTCGTGTGTTAATCTTAAATGGCCTGTTCGGATGCGGGCGGGTGTGTCTTGATCTGTTCTGGTTAACATTGGCATGTTTATATTTTCTTGTATACTGGGTCTTACTTCATGGAGTTTAGTAGTAAAATCTTGTTTGCTTGATTACTAACTGGAAACCGTTATCTGGTAAAAGATCATGTGATACTGTGAAAACGTTAAAATACTTAAGACACGTATAATATTGAAGATTCTGCGCGATGAACACATCAGAAACAGAAACGAAGAAAATTAAATTCCTCGTATAGTTAAGAATGTAAATTGTAATAAGTCGTAGCACTATACAATTGAATGCGTTTTATTAACACGTATCGTGACAATTGTATCTAAGAAGTGTTCAGTAACATAACTCAATGTTACAGAGCAATAGAAACTGTATTTTGAAATATTGTGTCTGCGAAACCACGCGACTTGAATAGCTATAAAACTGTTTTGTACTTGGACCTTGTTTCGTCAGAAACTGTTCAGAAATGACTCCCAATATAATAACATTAATATTTTTACCGAGTTTCCATTATACTCGACGTTTATTCTGCTTCACGATACTTTTACTTTCATCCTCACCTTTGAATATTTATTTCATCGTAGACTCTCGAGGCGTTCAGTTCATTTCGCCTTTGGATACTTCCTGCCGCGGAAACACGGCGATAAAAGTAATTGAACAAATTAGTCGGGCTGAAGTCGAGCTCCAGATGTTACGATCCAGTTGTAGTTCCATTCTGGTGCTCTCTTAAACTCTTCAGGAGATTAATTGAGATTCTTCGGTCACGTCGTATCGCCATAATTCTAATTAAATAGATTCGGCTCCTCTCGGTCTCCTTGCTGAACTCTCGTTTTCTATTCAAGCCATGTTCCCGCGGTATAGTTCGTTCCAGTCGTTAAGGTTCAACTCGTAAAAACTCAGACGTTTCCCACCCACAATTTTCCCTTCTTTCAATATTAATGTCTGTTTTTCTTTGATCTTTGCATATGCATAATGTTTCCGTTAACTTTTTTTATATGCGTGAAGTAGTATAATATATTATAGGAATTATTTATGTTAAATCATTTATTCCGTTACTACTTTAATTATCTAAGTTTAAGGGTGTTGCAATATTGTTTAATTATGGACAGTTTCCAACTTTGAGGATTGTTTTACTCTGTCCATATGAATTACAGTCTATAGTATAATTCAATGTTATTATCACATGAATTCTTTTAATTGTTTAAGTCATCAATTTTAATCGTGTGATTTTATTAACAAGGGTGATTTATATCAACAATTGTAAGATTTCTTGGATGAAATCGTTTCACTTAAAGAAACATAAATAATAATAGTAATAATAATACACTGAAAAATTTGAATATCATAAGGAATAAATTAATATTTCCAAACTAAATTCGAAAAGCGTTTACATCTACTGTTCAAATATACATAATTTTATATTATATTACAGGAGCAATTGTTAACTGACTTTCTACTTTAAAAATGATATACCAGTACCAAATTCTTTGTTCTAATAAATATGTTTATAATGTGCCTAATCGTTTATTGGGAAAATGAGAGCTAATTCTTCTTATTTTCCCAATAAACGATTAGGCACATTATAAACATATTTATTAGAACAAAGAATTTGGTACTAGTATATCATTTTTAAACTTCTTCAAAGAAGAATTAGCTCTTTGAAGACAAACGTCATATAGACGGCACCGCGAGCTCCGATAGATATCTCAAGTCGTTACAAGAAAGTAATTAAATTATTTAAATAACAAAAACTCAATTTATATTCTTCCGATTTCCAATATTCTAGCGTTTTAGATATAATTAACTCCTTTCCTTATAATATAAAGTCAGACTCGTGATGAAAATCTTCAGCCGAATTTGACAAATCTAAATGTTGCTTATTTATTTTCCATATTAATGAAATATCACTTGTCTACTATCAATCTGTAGTCTTCAGAGTATGATTAAACACAAAAAAAGCGTGAAATTCTTTACTTTTCCTATTAAGTTATTAACGATACAGTAGTTTTATCAACCACAATTGTGAAAGAAATTATAGGCCAAAAAGTAAGCCTAAAACTTTATTTCGTTTATTAATCCTTTGTACACTATTATTTGTACGCTATTATTTATACACTATACTATTTACAGTATCAAATATTTGAATCAACAAATTTGAAGAAAACTATCTTAAGATTACTACATATACACAAGATCTATAAAAATGGCATAAAGCTATTGAAAATAAAAAATCTAAGAAATGTTATAACATAAAATTGTTTAACTTCCGTCAGAAATACAATAAAAATGATATAGAGCTGTTGATAGATCAGAAGATCAGCTGAAGTGCTAAGGGTTAAAAATACAGTGGACAGTCCATTCTTCCACGCGACCGTATTAGAGGCGTCGATCTGCATGGAAGCTGATTAGCCAGGACGAGCGGGGGATCGTCCCCTTAACGCGTGTTCCGGCGTGTACGCTCGCCGATCCGGTAAACGTCAGGACACCCCTCAAACATGTCGAATTGTCTGTTGCAGGAGGGCGGTTGTTCGACACCGCGTGTCGCCAGTGTGTCGGTGCAGCTCGAGCAGGACAGCAACAAGTCGGAACAGCTGGAGCGGGCTCCCCGTTGTAGCGTACGTACCTGTAGACAGTCGAGAAAGGGAAAAGCACGCATGACGGCACCGGCCCTCCTAGTTCAGAACCTTTTGGAGACGCTCTAGCTCCCTCGTACCTTCATCTGAACTCCCCGATCCCCTCGGCCAGTTTCACGCGCGTCGGCTTAACGAGACAGCCAACGGGATAACGAGCTTCGGTGGACTCGAAACTCTCGCGAAAAATTCCTCTCCGCGCCCCCTGCCAAGGGAAGGGGTCGCAAGTGCTGTATCCGTCTCGGGCCCTCGAGATTTCCGTGCTTACCCGTGTGACACGTGCTACTCTTTAGTGAACGATGCACGTAACGCGAGGAAAATGACGGAGAGACGCGCGATTCGGCATTGAATCCCGATGTTAGGTGTCTACGGAGCATCCCGGCTGTGTTACGGAGAAGCTAAACGTTTGCACCGAAGTGGACCAAACGCTTCGAGCAGTCTCGTGCGAGATACACAGGATCGAGGGAAAACTGCGAGCGAATGGAGCGTCGCTCGAATACGACGGTAATCCTTGCGCGAGCCCACGAGAGGCGAACGCCCGACGCTGGTAATATAGTTACTATCCGTAGTGTCGAGATGTTTCTATAAATATTCGCTGTACTTCGAGTGTGCTTTCAACGTTTCCCGAGGAACAGTGCACGTACCAATGACACCGTTCGTTCTTTCGAAGTATTCCCTCAGTGCACGTTGCACAGACAACACTGAACAAGTAACGAAGATCACGCGATTGTCGACATTAACATTGCATGTGTTTCCTTCGGTACAAATTTGCTCGAGTAGGTCCTTCAAAGCCTAAGAGAGCAACGCTCGATTTGTATTTAAGTAACGCGTAACGGGGGAATACTTTGATATCCGAGGAATATCGTCGTTCAACGGCGAGCGTGATTTATATAGAAAGAAGGATCGAAGGAAAATGGTACTTTAATCAGTCCAACCGGAACGCGTACGAAAAATAGCGAGGAATGCGCGGTTCATGATAGTGTTACGGGCGGGCTTTCCGGTGCAGTTTCCTTGCGACGAAGCGTCGTTCCGGAGAATATTTTTCTTTCATCTTCGTTCCTAGAAGACAGAGGCGCGCCTTCGTGGCGAGTTACGCGAATTACGGAGCTGTAACTCATCGAGAACTCATGTAAATACTAAATTTTGTCCTTTGGTCGGTCCGCGGGTTAACGATTGAACGGTGATCGATGCCTTTTGATGATTCGTGTTGTTGGCAGATTGAGGTCCTCTGCGGCTATCGACGATAGCCTGGAATTAGTGGTCTAATGAGAGCGGGAACCATTGAGAGGCAGTGACCGCTGCGCGCTGAAACGAGCATCGAACCGCTCTCGAATTTATTTTTCATATTATGACGAGCGGAACGACGATGCTTGGCGGCTGATTAACCGGTCATCGTCGATCGTTCCTCTTCAGATCGATTCCTCGCGTGTCTGTCCCTGATACGGCGGACACGTTGCTATTCTCTCTCTCTCCGCACGTATCTACACGGTGCCAATCTTAGCGTAATGAACGTAACGCCGATCTGGCCATTCAGTATGGCTTTTGTAAGAAACTCGACTAAGGGAATGGTAAGAAGGTATAATAGGTAACGTCATTCTTCGATGAGCTTTGTTCGGCAACGTTTCCGGAGTCGGTCGAAGCACAATTTATAAGGTGCTAAAGGAGGTAGTTAAAGTTTGCAATGAGGGGCAATGTGGGCCTCCGTTTAATGCGAAGATAATTTACTCTATGTGGGTTATACGAAGTACATGGATTACACAGTGTGCTGTGTAACTTGTGATGTAACTGAAAAAGAAATTATTTCTAAGTGAAAATATACTATTTTATTCTGTCTTATTTCAATATTTGTCTTCATTTAAATTTCAGTGAATATACTTTTATATTTCCTTCTTGAGTATGTGTATTATTTTCTTTTTTTAGGTAAATCATGTTTTGTAGTTACTGGTTACCTAAAGCTTATATTAATAAGAGATGAGTATCACATTATCAAAAAAGAAAATTGTGAAATGTATCCAAATATTAAACTCATATAACGTGTTTCGCGAATAGCTTTTTATTACATTGTACGGATATTGTTGTGATTTATAATCTACGCTATAAATCTAGACATCGTATTGCTGAATATTTTTTCCATTACTTTTGAAAAATTCTAATTTACCTTATAACGATGGTATTGCAGTATTCGTGCATTGTAAGTAAAAAGTTCATCGGTACATTTTTGGGTCATCTAGAATTTTATTGCAATATCAAATCTATACTACTACAACACATGTAAATAATAGCATGGCGAAAAATATTATTACATTGTTTTCCAACAACTTTATTGATATAATATACATTTGTAAACAATTTATAATGGAAAAATTAAAATAACAGTTATTGTTTCACCGAATACTACAATGCAAAACTTCTAAATAGAATTATTTGGCTTCTGTATAAAGTATTAATATTATTGCATTTAGGATAGAATGAACTAGTATTCGCTAGGCAATGGCCGGGCGTTAAATTCTGTTGGTATTACGGAGTTGAAATTGCTTCCATTATGTTTGGTAATTTAGCTACTAATTTAACATGCTTCGAGGTAATCGCTCTTATAGCTGGAAAGCCTTTTACAACCAATGTTCCGCAATTAACGGATAATCGGTTTTAATTTATGCCTATCAAAACCAACTGAAACACGATGTGACATTAATCCTGGCAGATATATGGATCGATGCACTATCAATTTCTTATGTTCTCAAATTAAAAAATTCTTCGATTTACCGAGGAAATACAGTGCAATACATCACCATCTTAGATTATCAACATTCTAGATACTTATTATTCGAATCTTTTGTTTCCTGGATGTTTGTTTCTAGCAACAGGAAAATTCCAATATCCAGCGACACCATTAAAAAAGAAGGTAAACAGGAAATATTACAAAATTGCTTTAGGACATTGTATTCCTCAATAATATATTTATAAATAATACCTGACAGAAACAAATAATTTTGAACATGAACGTTTTGGATATGTATGAAACATTATACAACAGTTTCCACGTGTTACAAACATGGAAGCAATATTTTCCTCTGTATCGTCATTCCTAACTCATACGCGCGTCCCAAATTTAATACTCTAAATACTGGATTTCTCTTTCTGTAGATTCAAAGAACAAATTTTCTTTCAAAATGCTTCTTACAAATGTTTTTTATCGTTTATTACTTTTGCTTTCCTTTTTAAGACACAACATACAATTTTATTGAAAAATTTCTCCTTAAATATTTTACAATATTACGGTAATAGAAAAGATAGTAATTATCCATAAGGAGGTGCCACTCGCCGATTTCAATGAAGTGAAAGACATTTCTAATTAGTTTCTGTTACTTTAGCTTAGTACTGTTGTATCTATACATATACTATACATCGTATCCCTAAAGTTTCACATATGTTTGTATCAATTGAGGAATCTATAGACAAATCTAAAGACAAAAACAATTGTATAGGCAAAATTTTGTTAATATGTCAAAAAGGAGATTAAAAAATTACGCATTGTCAACATAATACCCTCGATAACATATTCAAAATTCATTGAAATTAGTGTCACCCATTCTGTATAATTACCAAAGAAATCAAATTTCATTACTATATTTCAAAGGACAGAATACTGTAAGGAACTAAATATAAACAAATTTTTCCAGAAATATTCGTTAAACAAGAAATCCCGTACATTCGAGTGCCAGTAAAGATTTCATCACCGATACCATTGGAAAGTTGAGAAACAAGTTTCCTTTAAATATAACTTCAATCTGTCGCTATTCCGTTTAGGTATCTCTCTATGCCTAGATGCCTTGGTTCACACAAATCTAAAACCTCTCGATTGAACAAGATCGAAAGCGATGTAGAACATTTCGTGGTCCCATTTCATTGGTTGTTTCACCAGATGCACAGGCGTAGTGTCGTTTTCTCCTCGTAAATCGTTGCTTAGAACGAACTCGAAACCGAAACGTTGCCAAAACTTTATGGAAGACCAATGTATATACCCTGTACACTAAAAACCGTTAAAACATCGAAACATTCGGCGATGCTTATTGAAATTCTCTCTTACAATTAACGTTCAAGTAATAACGGTCTGCGTGCGTGTGTTTGTTGCGGGTACGTGGGTGTGTAATACGTGTGCATTTTTATGTGTGTGTGTCACGGGCTTGAACGGAGTATCTGGCGTCGGGTCAACGGGTCACGCGCTCGAATCAGTCGTATCCAAGAGCTTTCGAAAATAGTCACACGTGGCCGCGGTATCGAAGCGTCAAATAAGATTCCGGGATGTGAAATACAGGGACGTGGCGTGAATTTATTGGCAAGATTTGCGTCGCTATGTGTGTGCGCTCTCTCCTGCCGACCATGCTGCCACCCTGTTTCTTACTTCGCCGAAAATGTTTGAACCGTTGCATGTTGGTAACGGTACATAGGGGACTGCCATTGGTCACCGGGATATTTGACTCACGGAACCTTTTCTATGGGACGCTTTCGAATGACGATCCAGGAGGGACAGGATTGCTGAAGAAGCAAGTGGTTGAATGTTGATGTAATTCAGACGAAGAATTTCTTTTAAGTGATGGTGTGTAAATACATATACCGATCGTATTTTCATTAAATATGAGTATATAGGATGTTGCGTGTTTGGTAATTTGTAAATGTCTCTGATTACTTGTGTCGGAATTCAGTATAGAAATCAATCAAAAAATAATACGAATGATATGTATCTATTATATATTTTATAAGGCATTGAACACGTGGAAATTATATATAAAAATGAAAATATTTTTTCAACGAAATTAACTCTGAAATTGAAATAAAAATAACTTTGTTTATTAATCCGCAAACTTATGCAAGTGATGTATATTTGAAAGTTAATAATTAGTTGAGATTGTCATATTTAAATATTCAGATTATTAATACTAGATCATTTTTATTTAATAATTTTCCAATATCTACGTTAGAATTCGTTTATAATTCGATCAAATTTATTGTGCTGACAAGAGTATATTTTTTCGTACCACCCTACTAAATGAGCATGATATAATTGTTCAAATATAATAATAACGCCAAAATAAATTAATGTACTTATATAGGTATTTATGGAACACAGATTTTTTTATTACGTTTTACAGTTCGATAGATATCGACATCATAAACGTTTTACTATAATTTGACTGTAGAATTATTAGCAGAGAAATAAATTTGTCCTCGAATTTCTCATTTGGAAAATCATGATCAAAAGGCTTAGTACTTACGTAATTGAGACTTACTTACTTAGTACTTACCTAGTAGCATTTATACATCATTTATAAATTTTCACACTTAGCAATTAGGAACCATCTAACACTTCTAATTTATCATAAATGAATTATGCAACACGCAATGTCTGGTAAACTCAGGCAGAAATGTTTACAATCGCAATAAATTATTAATATTATCATTTACATAACAACTAAATATAAAATTTCCATTACCTGAAAGTGTAACGACTGAACTTATGTTGGACTTGCCACGACATTCCGTTCAAGACAGTGAGTTGCAACGAGGTCGATGTAATTATGGATCCATCTAATTCCTCGAGACGACGATGTAAACGTTATTTTATTATCGGTAACGGATAGTAACAGAGAATTATACATATAGCTATGCTTTACTACCTGAAACGGTACAGAAATTGTTACAATAATTGCTCAGCGAAATAAGGGGCGAGATGACGAGGTTGTTCATCGCTTACTGTGTACA